TCAGTCTTCGGAGAGAACCAGCTGCAAACATACTGCGTTGAATTGAGAAGTCTAAGAATTTTACATTTCATCATTTTCGATAAAGGAAAATGTAAAATTCATCATTTTCCTTAATCGACCTGCCTCGTTGGTTTAGTGGTTGTAGTAGTGCGACTGCTAATCATGAGTTCTTGGGTTCGAATCCCGGGTCGGGCCAAAAAATCAATTATTAAGTTTTTCCGTCAAGAAATTCTCAGTAGCTGCCCGGAGTCAGGAAGTCGGCGGTGTCTCACCCCCGTGCTTCGGAAAGCACGTAAAGCCGTTGCTCCTGCGCCTGATCTCTCTCTGGTCGTGTCGGTTTACTGTCCGATTGGTTTATGAGAGTGAGGGAATAGAGAGTGCACTTGGGCACTATAATGCGGCTGCGCCGTTGGCTAGCCTCCGTTGAGGCAGGCCGCCGTGGCCGAAATTCGGACTGGAGGACATTAAAATAAATTTTAAAAAGTTGTGTTACGCCTCCATGCGGACTTGATAAATATACACCATAAGCAATTTAAACCACTTTTTCACATTTTTTGTAAAAATAGCAATTAATCGATTAAAAAAAATATCTTCACGCACACTCCCTAACGGGGTAGCCAGAGAGAACAGATCGCCAAGTGTCACGATCCTTACATACCTCTTTCGCTTCTTTCATGTTCATTAACTTCTTCATACATGCACGTCTAGGTATCCGAGTACTCTTGACCTTCCCCTCTTCGAGTAATTTGCTCACATGGTCTTCGAAAGTTAGTCTCGGTCTACCTCGACACCTTTTAATATTTACTTTCGCGCTATATATTTTCTTCACCATTCGGTCTTCACTCATTCGCTCAACGTGCCCAAACCATCGGAGTACGCCCCTACCAATTAAAAAAAAATAAGTTCAACAATCATTTTTTCTGACAATATTTCTGACAATGTGCTTTTTATATCATTTATTATGATCAATATGATTGTTAGATACGACTTCATGCGACAAAACGTCGGATTCTTGATTTTGAGGCGCTAGTAGAGCATATGTAGATATGTTCTACTAGCGCCTCAAAATAAAGCACGTAGGCGCTTTGCGCTTACCGCATGTAATATTTATTAGTAAGTGTACTTATATAATAAAGTAAAAAGACACGACCGGAGAGATCAGGCGCAGGACCAACGGCTTTACGTACTTTCCGAGGCACGGGGGTAAGACACCGCCAACTTCCTGACTCCGGGCAGTTTTTGAGAAATTCTTGACGGAAAAACTCAATAATAAATTTTTTGGTCCGATCCGGGATTCGAACCCAGGACCTCATCATCAGCTGTCGCACTACTATAACCACTAGACCAACGAGACCGTCTTATACTACTTAAGGGTTATTATACTACTAAAGAGTACATGATTGATAATAACCCATGGAAATGAGGTGATCACTACATGTGTTTTCCTCACAATGGTATAAATATTAATGTAAATTATGTTTTTTTTTAAATCGTTTTCTTGCTGGTTCTTTCCAGGACAGAGGGCTCTTCCGACCCAGTGGTAAAAGTAAAAAATTACTTTCAATTACTAATTACATATAATCTATGTTGAATAAAAATGGTTCTATTCTATTCTATTCTGTAAAAGTATGCATGGCTATCTCAAATTAAAACACAGGATCTCACCTCAATAGCAAAAGCCATCTCCCATAACGAGAGCTTCACGATCGACATCTGTTTATAGTAACATAACGTTTTGTTACGTAGTGTATGTATTCTATGGTTTTGTGCCTTCAATATAATTATAAGTGTACCAATATTTGAACAAATTAGCAGATGATTTGATGAATACACAATAGTGCGTTCAATACATAAATAAAGCCAACATCCTTTATTTAATTTATGTATAGAAAATAGATAGATAATTCTACCTGGTAGATTCATGCTGCAGCTATATTAGTAGTATAGTTGTAGCACGAATGGGTCGGCTCGACCGGGGAAGGACCACGCTCTCACAGAATACCAGCGTAAAATAGTAGCTTAATGCTGCTGTGTTTCGTATGGTGAGTGTAGAGAACCGGCGACACTTTTTACTGGAAACGAGGCATTCCATCTTAGACCTCACGGGTGACAACGCATCTGCATTTTGATTCGTATTCGAGGATAGATGTAGATGTCTATGGGCCACAGCAACCACTTACCATCAGGTGGAGTGTCCGCTTGTTTGTCACCCTATCCTATAAAACAAAAAATCTCATGTAGAACTCTTTCAAAAAGTAACCGACACTAAGTAACTAAAAGATAGGCATATTTGATTCCACGACTGTTCCAATTAGTTTAATTTAGCATGGAACCTTAAAACTAAATTAATTTAATGTAATATTATACGATTAACATATTCATAATGTCGGAGATGAGTAAAATGCGACATTTTTATGATGTGACCTTATTCAAAACCATTGATACTAGTGCGTAGTACATATATATCGATGTTCAAAACATACCAAATAATTTTATAGCCATATGAACGTTTTTGGAATATGTAGAGTTTTCCTTATTTAAACAGGTTTTACATGTCGGTCTTGTCCAAGTTTGGCTGGGTTTAAATTAATTTTGGTCACTAAAGGTGTGTAATGATATCACACAGTTCGTTTATCTTCAGTCGTCTCTTGCAATGTAATGCTTGAAAAATAATTCAAAGGGGTTTTTTTAAAATATAAGAAGTGATAAACGAGCATGCGGCTCAGCTGATGTTAAGTGACTACCGTCGCCCATGAACAACTGCATCACAAGGGGAATTGCATACGCGTTGCTGATCTTTTAAAAAAAAAGTAGGCTTTTTTCTGTCCCTAAGACGTAATGGTCCGAAAAAATCTCTGGAGTTAGTCGACTCCACAAGGCAATTGTATTAAAGTTATAGTTTATATAACTCTTTAGAAAGTTATTACATGCTCTCTTTTTAAGAATTATCTCTCGGATCGAACTCAAAGAGTAAAGCTCGATACATTCATGAGTGATGACGTCACGGTATCACACGGCGTGTCGCATGGTAGTGTAGGCCCCACACTTTTTCTTGTCTATATAAACGATCTTTGTTGTCTGCAAATCGATAAGGCCCATATTCTCTCCTACGCCGACGATACTGCTATAATTTTCACTGGAAGGGATTGGAATGAAGTTAAGGAAAAAGCGGAGTTAGGTATGAGTTTAGTTGCTGGCTGGTTAAAGGATAATCTTCTTACCTTAAATACAGACAAGACGAACTTTATTTGTTACAGTATCCGTGACCAATCACAACTTAATCTTGATTTTAAAATCAAAATACACTCCTGCAATTCCTATCCCGGATTGGCTAACTGTGTTTGTCCCGTTATTAAAAAAACCGACAAAACTAAGTATCTGGGGGTGATAGTTGACCAACGGTTATCCTGGCATCCACATCTTGAACTAGTAACAGACAAGGTTAGGAAACTGATCTGGATATTTAAGACCTTAAGATATGGGGTTCCGGGTGAGAAATCAGGTAGGCAGTACTCTCATAGAAATATACTCAAGGAGATCTATACGGCATTAGCACAGTCCCTACTAACATACTGCATACCAATCTGGGGAGGGACGGGTAAAACCAAAATGTTGGAGGTGGAACGTGCACAACGTGCTCTTTTGAAAGTAATGCACCTCAAAAAAAGGTGGTTTCCAACTGATGATTTTACTCCATCAGTAAAGTCTTATCAGTGAGAAAGCTATATGTTCTGCTAACTGTATTAAAAAAAAAAACATAAAACCTTAACCTACGATACAGCTAAAACTGCATTTGCTAGTAAACAATACTCAAGCCGCTCCGTTTTACTATATAACAAATTAAACAAAGAACTAGAGATTTACAGCAAAACAAATAAGGAATATAAGAAATTGATTACCAATTTTTTATCTCCCTTAAATTACGAGGAAACAGAGACATTATTACAATACAGATACTAAATGAACATATACACATACATACACCCATACTCAGAACATACTCACACACTACTCATACAACATGCACCACTTTATTATTTACTTTAGGATATTTTATTTCGTTAATAATATTGTAATTCTTAGCTATGGAAGAGCGAAGTCACCTGTTACAGGCATTATTTTTGCTTACTAGGTGACTTCGATCACTGATCATATAATGTAACATTAATGTTTGACGAAATAAATAATTTATTATTATTATTATTATATAAGGTTAAGGTCGCAAATTACAAAGAAAATGTTTACGACAAGTGCTCTTCTTAATGGCCGGAACACACTAAAAGCATATTAAACGCATTTAGCATTCGTATATGACGCATGTCAAGTGCGTCCCAACACTGTGCTCATGATGCGCACATGCTGCACACGTAATGCAAATACAAAGCGCTCATCTGATGTACAGACTAGTAGAGATATACATGACTGGTTTCAGTTTCACTGTAGTGCGACGCTGCCAATCCGCTGCACGAATCACACACGTGCATGTAGGCATTCGGCTGCTGATCATAGGATTCCAAGTTCGAATCCCGTTAGAACCAAATGAAAGTTATAGGTTTGTTTGTTTAGAAATTCTCATTAGAAGCCGAGGGTAAGGAAGTTGGCGATGTTTAACCTCCTGCATCGAAAAGCACTTAAAGCTGTTGGTCTGCGCCTACCCCTGACCTTCTTCCGATAATGACGGATTTCCCATCGGACTATTGTTACTAACTAACTTAATAAATTATGTATAATAAGTATATAGTTTATTAAGTAAGCTAAAACGTATATTCAGCCAGTTGACAATTTCATATTAACCATTAGACCAGAAGCTGTTGCCGGAGTGCAACTAGGGGATCATTGATATACTAATCATGCAATATTTTTAATTGTTACAGATTGATCACTAAGGAATTATGTGGTTGGGTCTAAAACCAAAAAAACTTACATATTATGGTAAATATCCTGCAACACTTATTACATGAACCAAGTTTCCGGTAGTCTTCAACTTGAAAACCTACAAGATGGAAGATACTAGGTAAATTATGCAATTTCTAACGTTTATAGTTATTATACTTACTTACTTTAAATAGCGATTGTGTGTGTCATCTATAATTTATTTTAACAAGCCAATTATAATGATTAGCGTTTCGCACAAGTGTTATGTGTGTGAAAATAGAAACGCGATCGTAGGTATGTTAGATTTGTATTAAATGTTTTTATTTTTACTCAATAAACATTTAAGTAGATTTATAAAGGTTTGAAAAAATTAAAAATTACCATACGTCTTAACCAGAGCAGCAGTGTGATGTGACTCAGTGTCGGGACATCATTATCGATGCTTGCAAAACTATGATAGGTTGTTCTTTTTCTGGTGCAGTCTGTCGGATTCCACTGCTGGACAAATGCTCTTATTCTCTCTCTCCCGATCGTATCACAACACCTCGTAACCTTGACACTGCTTCCGTCATAGGCCCGTGTACTTTTTTTATTTATTATAGGCTAGTGCTTGACCACAAACTCACCTAGTAGTAGGCAGTGATGAGGCCTTAGATGATTAAGATTGATATTTTACATCTGGCGTATAAAAAACGGTAAACGGCTATCCGTTGAAGGTCTTGAGGTCGTATTGGCCTTTTCCATATTTGTCTCTTAAGATTATGCATCTTTTCCAATTGCCGGTCTCGGTTTTTTATGTCTAGCGTAAACGGGGTGATATACTGCGACATATCGGAGCATATAAGACTTCTCAGGCCTTTCCTTCATTATTATCTCCTCTTGGGTGCCCCACGAGACGAAATAGGCTGATGGAATCATTTACGCTCCCACCGCATGGCAATGTGTATATAATAGAACTGAAAATATATTTTTGTATGAATTCATACAAACATATTATCAAGAATCAAGAAATCGAAGCGAGTGCTTTTCCACTGACAGAATGTTATTGATTTTATTTCAAGTCGTGTGTAAACATTCAGCCGTCGTCAAGTTCAATTTACAGTCTGAATACAAGTTACATAGGCGGTTATTTTTATTATTTTTCTATTTTGTGTCACCTAAAATTAATAAAAGATAGACCACTGGTCAAACTATGCGGCTGTGGTAAACTAGGGTCACTAGGCCAAAAATTCCCCTCGCAAAAAAATCTCCATCCCAACGACTACAACCTTCGTACGACTTTTCGTCACGTTGGACAACGTTTAGTGTTATTTAATAAACGTATATAGGCAATATAAGTTTATAATGGCGTTGTAATTATGTGGCGAAATATTTTATTCCTTTTTTCTTTCAATTTAATGGTATTATTAGTGCTGGAATTCTCATACTCATTAGCTTCTTCGTCAGATTAGAGGCGTATTTCTTTGTTCTGTGTTGAATAGAACTATCGACTGTATAGTATAGTGGCAGTGTAAGCATACCCACTATTCCATATCATCCCGTGAGTCAAGAGGCGATAGAGGGTAACATTTCAGGGGATAGGCAGCAGCATCTTCTCAATCACCATTAGAAAAAAGCTGCGGTTGCCAACCCTAGCGTGGCCTATAGCAAATATCTCCTCATGAGGCAATTTATGGAGGGGCCTAAGCAGTAGACTTTGATTAGCTATAATGAAAGAATGTTCAATAGAAGACAATACTGCCGCGAAATGCGCACGAGTTCGTTACGCTAATTAAAAACAAAGCGAAATTAAATAAAAAAGTTTTTTTATAGGATAAGGTGACAAACGAGCACACAGTCCACCTGATGGTAAGTGGTTGCTGTGGCCCATAGACATCTACATCTATCCTCGATTACGAATCAAAATGCAGATGTAGACCCGTGAGGACTAAGATGGAATGCCTCGTTTCCAGTAAAAAGGGTCTCCGGTTCTCTATACTAACCATACTAACACAGAAGCATTAAGCTACTATTTGACGCTGGTATTCTGTGAGAGCGTGGTCCTTCCCCGGTCGAGCCAATCCATTCGTGTTACAGCTATACTACTAATATAATATTATTGATATAATTGCAGTATCGCTTTACCATGTTTATATAGATAGAGTTAAGAACAATACGAAATTAGGAGGTTTTTTTTTGTAAACACCATCAGGAATTATACTTGTTCTATTGCAAGGATGTGTTCTATCAATATGAAATCAGATGAACTGATTGAGTCAGCTGTACTGTCAAGTTACATGATAGTCAAAAATTATTTATCTCTTTGTAAGGTTCACCGTCTGCAAAGTTGAGTCAGAAAACAAGAAGAATGGGATACACATGGGCGCTAACATCATCACGCGTCCTCTGCGCTCATCTGCGGAGACGGCTGAGCGTGACGTGGCAGTTAATAATCAGCCCGATACCTGGCTACATGACGCAGGCTGGAGAAGAAAAAGGTCGCTGGCTCAGCTCACGCGGGAAGCACTGCCTAGGATGGAGAACTATAGGAACTCTAAACGCGCGCTGAAAAGGCCTAGCCTTGGAGAGCTGCACGGGGATAACCTTATTACTGAAGAGGTAATCCTAAATTCCTTAACTTTTTTAATTTGATTAATTGATGCCATATATTTGTATGTTACTTACCCCAAAAACCCGCTCAGAAATGAGAGGAGGCCTATGCCCAGCAGTAGGACGTATATAGCCTGTAACTTTATATACATCACTCAACAATGACATTAGGACCCTCCCTCCCCCAACCACTCCGCTCCCATCAAGTCTCCCAATGCCAGATATGGTTGCTGCAATACACTCGAAAGTCAGGGAATATAAAAACGAGAAAATTAGACGAGACAAGATCTTTTAAAAATCGTTACAATTATTTATATACAAACTTTTCAGAAGAGATGAAAAACTGTATACGTAGATAAATTATGTACAAATAAAGTACTCTAATTTTTATTTAGATACTTTTAGATACTTGGGTTCACTCAACATATTCGTACAAGCAAAAAAATTATGAAAAATGGATTTTGCCAATGAATCATTGTGGATTATTTATACTGGTACTAAAAAGATATTTAATAACTTAAAATCAACAAAAAGTTTTCAGTGCTATCAATTATGCAAGTAATAAAATTGTTAACATTTGTATATATGGTATTAATGCCCAAAATAATAAAATTAATATCAAAAATTAATGTGACAAACAAACTTATAATCCACCTGATGGTAAGAAGCTATTGTAGCCCATGGACACATGCAACTAAATTCAATTAAAGAGGGCTACAAGTGTGTAGTCACCTTTGAGTACTGAGAGACAGATTGCCTCTCAGCCTGTAATTATCCAGCCTCTCTGGACCTTCATACCGGAACTCACGCGTGCTTAATAGTTAGGTGGTACCTAGACACATACTCTTAGGTAGAAAAGAAGTTTAAGTAAGTTTTTTACTAACAAACTAAATAAGACTTGAATCCAGTTACAACCATTTAATGGTGGTTATAATTTCTTTCTCCTTTTTCTTCATTAGCCTGGAATAACACTTACGGGACATGAGTCGCTGTCTGCTTATGACGGACTGGTGATCGTAGTGTGATGTTTTTTTGAAAAAAAGTTTCTATTCGTTGTCAGAGTCTTTTCGGTGAAAAATAATAATTGTTTATTTTGAATATGTATACCTACCTCTTTAATATCGTTGTAAATATTGCAAATGTTTATTTAACCTAAAAGTAATGTAGTAGTTTAAGTAAGTAGTTTAAGTAAATAAAATAAAATTAGTCTTTTTAAATTAATAAGAATAAATTGATATATAACATAATATAATATAATATTGCTACGCCCTATCAGGGCTCATGTTTGGCTCTAATATATCCAACTTAAGAACTATTTATGTAACCACATGAACGCAATAAAATGTTTGAGTTTGAGTTTGAGTTTGACTTACCAGAGGCGACTTCGTCAACAACCACTGGGCGAAATAAGTTGAAGAATTTTTTAACGCGTATCTCTTTCATCTGCAAAAAAATTATGTATTTTTTTATAGGTTAAGGGTGACAAACGAGCACATAATCCACCTGGTGGTAAGTAGTTGTTGCGGCCTATAGAAATCTACATTTATCCTCGAATACGAATTAAAACGCATATGCGCTGCCACTTGTGAGACCTAAGACGAAATGCCTCGTTTCCAGTAAAATAGATCACCAGTTCTCTACACTCACCATACGAAACAGCAGCGTCAAACTGCTTTTTTAGTCCGGTAATCTGTGAGAGCGTGGTCCTTCCCTGGTCGAGGCGACTCATTCGTGCTATACTAACAACGCGGAACATAGTACTAATATAACTGTAACATGGCTCTACCGCGTATAACGTTTCATTACCGTTAAATATTTTCCTGTATTTCTTCATTAGTTACTAAAATATTTCATTGCCTTTTTATTTTATCGGCAATATTTATTTAATTTTTATTGTAACTACATGCAAATATAATATTGTATTTTGTGGATAAAAAAACCCAATTATAGCCGATCGTTTGACATACAATACGTGCATTTCCGATGATTAAAATGTAATTTAGGATCATTTGCTATGGAATTACAAAATACGCGCGAGCATTTATGCACACAAATACGATGTATGTAGTTGACGGTTATTATGTACAAGTAATCTGATGATGCACCGTTTCAGACTCTGAAGAACATTTTGTTGCGGGTTAATATAAAGTCAATAATATCATTATTATTTTTTCTTATAGCATAAGTGTACAAACGAGCACAGATTCCACCTTATGGTATGTGTGCTCGTTTATCACACATTAGCACACAATTGCTTTGAATTGTCAACAGGAAGATGCTGCTGCTCACGCCCCATTTAATTCCTAACACAAGCATTTCAAGCTTACCAGGAGTGGTTAAAGGAATATTAGTAATGTTAATTAATAAGATTAATAATATTTTTTTTTATAAAAAAATTTCAACTGCCTCGACTGGTGAGACTGCTGATCATGAGGTCCTGGGTTCGAACCCGGGTTGGGCCAAAAAAAAACAATTATTGAGTTTTCCGTCAAGAAATTCTCAGTTACTGCCCGGAGTCAGGAAGTTGGCGGTGTTTATTCCTCGTGCTTCGGAAAGCACGTAAAGCCGTTGTTCCTTCACCTGTTCTCTTTCCGGTCGTGTCGGTTTACCGTCCCATCGGATTATGAGTATTGAGGGAATAGAGAGTGCAGCTGTGCTTGCGTATACGCTTAGGTACTATAATGCTGTCCTGCGCTGATGGCTAGTCTCCGTGGAGTTTGGCCGCCGTGGCCGAAATTAGGTCTGGAGGAGATTATTTTTGGGCTTCCTTTCCGGGCTTCTTCTATGTGGCTTAGCCGGTCGGCTCGGCGCGATAATGTCTATGAAGGTCTAAGTTATAATGATAAAATAATTTTGGTGCAACTATGATGAATTAAATGTCGGTGAAAATGGCGGGGTTCCCTGGCGGTTGGACGGGCGGTTTATCCGTTTGTTTATGTTGTTTTCTTAGATCTATTCGTATGAAAGTTCTTGGTAATGTTTAGTATTTGGCTTAGAGGGAAATGAGGCGGTAGACGTTCTTGCTAAAGAGGCGATAAGTGATGGGGAGAATTTCGACTGTGTACCTTATTTTTCCGAATTCTTATCTAAATTTTGTGAAAACTATACAGTCAAAAGTATTTGGTACAAGACGATACAACCGCATCTTTCTCGCTTCCTTCGGTTTGAAGGATGCAATATGGGAAGGCAAGAAATTATTACAGCAATGAGGCTTCGCTCCGGACATGTACCATTAAACAAATTTGCGTTTGTAATGAGAAAAGTGAATTCACCAAATTGTGACAAATGTGGAGTTGTGGAAGATGTTATTCATATTATGGTGGAATGTGAACGGAACGAAGCATATAGAAAGCAATTAGGTTTTGACAAAAATAGTGTTGGGTTAGATAATAGTATCCTAGCTTTTCCATTGTCGGATAAGGCTAGGAAACTTTATAAACTTGTATTGTTAGGTATTAAGAACAGGTAATCTTTTATTATTGTTTACGTGAATGTATCATTGTCTGATTATGTGTCTGATTGTGTAGATACCTATGCGGTTGACTTGATCTAGTAGATCTAACCCTCTATAATAAATAAAGATTAAAAAAAATGTTTAGTATTAATTTCATATATTTAATATGTAACCAAGGAACCTTCTAAGAAAAAATTTAAGGTAAAAAAAACCTTTTCTTTTTCTTTTGTGGAGTTACACTAAAAGACAACAATAGCTAATGCCCCTTAGCCTCGCATTCTATATGAAGATTTTACTTTTCCTAGCATACAAATATAAATTTCAGATAAAATTAGATTTTTTCTACTTTTATGAAACTAACCTAATATACATAATTTTCCACTGAATAAGGGTTTAGTTGTGGTACTGCAGGGCTGCAGGTTTGAATCCCGATCAGAACAATTATTTGTTAGGCTTGCAAGTAATTGTTCTGGGTCTGTATATTTATACGAGCTGTGATGATTCTAGTGACAAAACGAGATAAAAATCATGAAATTATTGTGTTGTCATCGGATTTAATACATGTGCAAAAATGAATTACGAAATTACGTTACATTTATACATCTATACATACATACCCGCACATTATCCTGACATGTTGTCCTCATTTTATAATGAAAATATACATGCGATATTAGTTTCTGAATCTTGGTTAAAACCATGTTTGCCTTCAATATCTTACTCTCTTCCCGGATTCCACTTGATTCGCAACGACCGCCTTGGGCGCGCTGGCGGTGGCGTGGCGATTTATTTAAGATCACACATTCCTTACACAGTTTTAAATACTTCGCAGCCAGTGTCTAGCGCCGGCCCTGAACACCTATTCATCGAAATATTGTTTGGACATTTAAAGCTTCTTCTCGGTGTCTATTACAGTCCAAATGTTACAATTGATTATTTTTCAGCATTTGAAATTCTTTTAGAACAATACTCCTCGCTTTATAATCACACTATTGTCATGGGAGATTTCAATACTTGTCTTCTCAAAAACGATGCTAGAGCATCCCGTCTGAAATCTCTTGTTAATGGCATTAACTTACATATTCTCCCACTTTCAGCAACTCATGCTTTTCCTAATTGTGTACCTTCTCTCCTTGATTTAATACTTGTTTCTTCCATTGACCATGTTGCAAAGCATGGTCAATGCAATGCCTCCGCTTTTTTCTTACCATGATCTACTTTACCTGTCCTATAAATTAAAACCTCCTAAGGCTAAGCGAAGGATCCTTCTCCGGCGCAATTTTAGTAGAATGGACCTGGATAAGTTACGAGAAGATACTGCTAAGGTTGACTGGTCAGTAGTTGCGAATGCTGGTTCGGTTGATGAGCAGATATCTATTTTTAACAGCATACTTACACAACTGTATGACATTCACGCTCCAATTCGTCCAGTTCGAATGAAGCATCTTCCTGCCCCCTGGCTCACTGCCGATATAAAAAAACTTCAAGAAAAAAAGAACATAGCGAAATCTAAATATCGTATGAATCCTAATGATTCTAACCGAGAGAAATATAA